AAAATTCGAACATACTTTGTATGGAACAAAATGCTTGAACCAAAAATCAACGATAAGTCCTTTATTATACTAAAAAAAACAAAATAAAAAAAATAAATCAGAAGTTAAAAACATAAAAGCTGGTTACACAGTTTCAAACTTTGATGAACATTCGTTAAAATTTGTCGAAAGAAAAATAGCCAAAACTTGCTAAAATGTGTCTTCCCTATTTACATTCTCGCCACCGTACATCATAAAAACGGAACATGAGAACACATTTATGACAGGAAGACTCAGATGCATTAATATTTTAAGATTTAAAGGAATTAAAGAAGTAAAAAAAAATAACATGGAATGAAGTGCAAAAAAAATTAAAACAGCCGATGCCGATGCCGATTCTTTTGGCCGATACTAGCCGATGCCGATGCCGATTAATCGGTCGGACTCTAGTTCAGCTCCTCTTCTTCGGCAACACATACTCATACTTTTTTTCTGTCGGAATATTTAGCTGGATTTTCACAATATACATATGTATGTGTATGTACGTATATATGTATGTATATGCACATAATTTACACACATTTTCATAAAATGTTATCCTTATTCTTTGGTAAAACGATCTCCAGAAACTGAAAAGACTTTTGTTTCCTCCAAGTGCTTCCCACAAATTATTATTTTTGCATACACATATGAATACATCGTCCACGAAAGTGATTCTTTTCAATCTGTGATAAATTATGAACAAAAATAAACGCTCATGTGTATGAATTTGTAAATGAAATCAATTATGTTTGCACAATTTGCATTTGCACTTTCAGTCAATCGAAAAACTAGAAATTGAAGGCCACGTCCATGATTTAATGAGCCCCAAAAATACCACTCGCAATGGGGACAGATTGTGTGCGACATTTCATATTTGATTTGACATCCATTTAAATTTTTAAGCTAAATTCGGTTGAACATTGAATGTGATTTATTTTGATTCATAATCTGATAAAATGTTGCAAATATTTACACACGATCTCAAGTCAATTTTTATAGATTTATGGCCTTATTCTTATGACATACATCTGTATGTAAATTCTTATAGGCTGGTAACGGAAAACTTTCCCGCGATAAATACAATGCCAGAATTTCCACAAATCTTCATAGCTGAATTGCTGAATAACAAAGACAAAAACAATTTTCCGGTTACAAAATCATCGGTGACGTGCAGAATAGACCTGTTAGTGTGTCTTAAATCAAAGTTCTTTTAAAAGTTCATAGCGTCGTCTCGGCTCATTACACTGTGCGACAGTTTAAATCGGTATTGAGTAAAATCAAATGCAAGTGATAATTTTAGGTGTTAATAATACTACGTTAATGGCTCAAATATGGTAGATATCCTTAATCGAATCCTTGCACACAATTTATTGTTTAATTAGGTTAAGTTCTTGAAAAATATTCTAAGAAAATATTCATATAAGAGTTTCTGATACGAGGAATTCATTTTTGAAGTTTGTTTCTTTATTAGCTCTGCGCTAGATGTCGCTGTAGGCCAATTTTATTAAATGTCATTGCGATTTTTCGCATATTTAGTGTTAATGATAACTTAATTTTTTATAAAAATCACCAATATTTTTGCCAGTTTCACAACGATCCAGTAGCGCATTTCAAGGCTATTGTGCACCCTGTATTGGTTATAGTAGAAAACTGAAAGATGATATAGATATTACAACTGAGGCCATGAGGTCCAGAGAAGCCTATCTCCAAAAAAAAAATTTTAGTAATATGAGAAAGAAGGATCTATACAAAAAAGGCGGCCTTTTACTAAAATGTTCATTGCACCTAAGTGATGCTACATATTTTAGTAAAGGAATACTAAATGGGTGTGCTTCGGGCTATTACCGTTTCGATTCTGGTAATGTATTTTAAAGTGCATCTCAAATTTTTATGAAATGCCAGTTGGGCTACTCTGGCCCTCATGGCCTCAAATATCAAAAGAAAAAAACTAAGGGGGTGCTCCGTTTTCTAGTATGAAATTTTTTCCCCATACAAAATTTGGACCACTCTAATGTACAAATTTATGCATGTGGGCCCATTTTTTTGTAAGAGTTCCCTCAAGGGACTCTAACGACACTCGTATCAGTGTTTTTTTTGTTTTGATTACTTCAGATCAATCGAGCTACATACACAATTTGTATTAAACATATTTCAAAGTTGTGTACCTACATACTTTTCTAATGCGTGTATTTTCCAATTTTACAGGTTCAAGTAGGAAGCCCTGCTTATGGGGAAGTGCTACGTGGCGATATAATAGCCAAGGTCCGTGATTATGATGCCCGCGATTTGAACCACGCCGACGCTGAGACGCTTTTCCGCAACGCCGGCAATGAAATCAAAATCGTCGTGCATCGTGACAGTAAAATCGCATACACACAAGGACTCGGCGCCGAACCGTACGGAACTGGCCTTGGCTCATCACCAGTTAATAGCAACAGCCCAGACTTATCCAATGCCAATGTGCCACACAGGCAAGTTTTTGTGTGTAAATTTAAATGTTTCTTTATTTAATTTTCAACGCATTTCATATCTGTTTGTTCGTTCGCAGAGGACCTTCACCATTTTTGCCAGGACCCGGTCATTATGAACGTGCTCTACAATTACCTGTTGATTCGTTGCCGCAAACAGTATTTCCAAAACTGAACGCATCTGGCGGCTATGTGGCACCGCGCGACAGCGGATGCTTCAGTCCCATGCCGACGCGCGATCACCAACAGGATGTAGCCGAGGAACAAGCGGCCATTGTGAATCAAGTGAGTCAATAAAAATCGCCTAAATCGCTTAACACCGCTTAGCATGGATTAACAACTTAGCACAATTAAATTTACTGCCAATCAAAACTGAATTACGAAACATAATAAAAAATTAAATTTTGTCAAATCGCTTAATAAAGAAAATAACAAAGCAGTTTTTATATCTTATTTCGATATACTAAACAGGGTTGTCTAAAACAAAAACTCAATACGTGTATTAACCCTAGAAAGAGTGTGACTAATTTTTATAACTAAAAGTTAAAAGTTTTGTAGGTTTTATTTTTTGAAAAAGATAAAATTTCTCAAATAAATTTATGATGGCACGAAGAAAACTCGTTTTTAAGAAGTAAATACCTTAAAGTTTGCGAAAGTAAAATCCCCAACTAAGCTTGCTGAATAGTCTGAATGGGCAAAATTGTATTTAGCAAACTCGTACTCTGAATACAAAAGTATTTAATTATGCCCATCACTGGCCTGAGTATTATCTATTAAATTGCAAAATTAGGAGACTTGAACATTTTTTCCTCTATTCTGGTTTCTATTGTTTCCCGGTAGAAAATTGATATTAAGAAGACATGACGGCTATGGAAAGTAACGGACGAAATATGCTTAGATAAAGGTTGTAAGGCAGTGATTTCTACTACTACTTTGCGAAGTTAGAACCCATGTGGGACTTACCAGTTAAGACAGTCTTAGCTGTATTTTTATATCAGAATCTGGTTTTTCTGAAAAGTGCAGTTAGAGGATATTGAATATAAGTACTCGATATGTAAACTCAGTTTTAATAGTTTGGTCAATAGGGTGGAGTGAAATTACGCATTTTCCTACCTACATAAAGGTGCCTTTCCCACCCTTTACCCAGAAATAAGGAAGCAAAATATTATTTGGTTCATCGAATTTTAAGAGGAGTAAGTTTTGAGAAAACGGTCAAATATCTACTCCAAGAGGTTTTTTACACTAATCTGAACTTGCCGAAAACGATTTGGATAGCCATTTATTAGAAAAATTTTTGGAGATATAGGCGAAAATTCGAGTTTTTCGGTTTTTCAATGTTATTTATTTTATTGCTTTTTCGCTTTTTTCTGGGTTACTTTTATTTTATTTTATTTCCATCATTTTTCAATTAAAATACAGTTCCTTCTCTAACAAAAGCCATATCGAGCCCTAACCGCCAAAATAACGTAAGCGACATTTTTTTCAAAATTTTATTTTTGATGCAGAAATATCCCTAGGGCATCTAGATGTATTTCTGCATCAAAAAGAAAATTTTGAAAAAAATGTCGCTTACGTTATTTTGGCGGTTAGGGCTCGATATATGTATCGAAACTTGAGTGGAAGATCGATCTATCTCGGCAGCCAGTTCGAAAACGCTCCATCTCAGTAAACTTTTCATGAACGCCCTATTTCAAAATTTCATTGAAAAACGCTCTATCTCAGCTGCTGATTCAAAAACGCTCTATCTTAGCACATTTTCATTACATTTTCAGCTGCAAATTCTGAGATAGGGTGTTTTCAAATAAAATTCTGGAATAGAGCGTTCTTCAATCAAATTCAGAAGTAGGGCCTTTTTAAAAACTTTTCTGAGATAGGGCGTTTTCGAACTCGCTGCCGAGATAGGTCGATATTCCACTCAGATATCTATATGTAAATGAAAGTTTCAAATATTGTAGAAAATTAAAAAAAAAATTCATCAAAATTTCAAAGTTTTGAGTATGTAATTTTGCATGTCGCCCATTAATTTTGAGTGTAGTAAAGTGCAAGTTTGAAGAAGTTACACATTACCGTTGATTTTTTTTTAATTTTTTGACTGACGCTCTTCTGCAATTTTTTTCATATATACAGTGCAAGCAAGAGTTTAGGGAAAAAGTTTTAAATTTTGATGAACATTTTATATAATTTTCGTTAGGATGGGTTTTGTCTGAGAACACACTGTATTCTAATTCAACAAGTAATTTTTAAGCAAAAAACAAAACCGACTTTAATTCTGCAGACTTGATGCAGAAATGAATCTAGATGCTCTAGGAATATTTCTGCATCAAAAAGAAAATTTTGAAAATAATGTCGCTTACTTTATTTTGGCGGTTTGGGCTCGATATAAATGTGCCTTGTACTGCGCCTTGCAAATAATGGATCAATGCTTCGAGAAGCAAACAAATTTACAATTTTTTTTTTCAAATTTAATCTTTAATTTTTACTTTTTTGTATCAGAACAATTTTTGACAATTTAAGAGAAGCAGGATAGCAAGACATATCTGGCCTAAGCTGGACAAGCGTAGATCTCGCCCTCTCTTCCACTTGGAGCGACCATTGCTGCGACATGTTATTGGAGTTCTCACTGGGTATTGGCTGATGGGAATCCACGCCACTAAAATGGGTTTGCAGTCAAACGACTACTGTCGTAGCTGCCGTGATGAGGAGGAAGTCGAAAGGGTGGAGCACTACTTATGCCACTGTCCTGCTCTGGCGGTGAGGTCGTCGATGCACGTTCCTCCATTATTATTTTTAATGTCTGGCCGAACTTGATTCAGTCAATTTCTATGACTTTGTGCGCTTCATCAGAGCTATGAAGTGGTTCCATTTCTAGGGTAAGAGGTGGGACATATGGAGTCTCTAATATGGCATCACAACGGGCCCATGGTGGCCTAAATGTGCCCTTTATCTGAGGGATGAGGGTAGCCGAAATAACCTAACCTAACCTAACCTAAGAGAAGCTATAAAATAAATATTGTTTTTGCCCTAATACCTGTTTAATATGTCCTGGTACTACCTTCTAAGTTTAGTGTTCTTTAACTGTTTCGAAAAATGTTAAAAGGTTAGTCATCTCAGTTAAGAAAGGTACTCATAGATCAACACATTCATAAATTTCAATCACTTCACTTCTCTAGCTGACAAATTTCATTATAAATGGCTACTCAATCAAGAAAAAATAAAAGGGTTAAGAGCGTTTAAAAATTGTGTGGCGAATCTCATTTGCTCCTATGGATATTCAGAAACGACAGTATTGAACCATAGTAAACAGTTTTTTATCCGGCAACATATAACCATTATCCTTATTATCCTTATTAACTATTGTGCAGTGCTTATTTTTTGCACACGAAATCGGTCGATCCTTCAAGTTGTTTTTGTTTACTTACACCAGACTGAGGTTGAACCACCCAGTCGACCAAATTTACATCTCACAAAATAGTCTCATAAATTAAATGGTTCAAAAATATTGGTCCCATCCTACCAGCGGAGTCCACAGGGTGCACAATTAGAACTCCCTCAATGGTGCGTTGATGCTCCTAGGGTGGCTCCAAAAAGAGTCCCAAAGGAGCATACCCGCAGGAGAAAAGAGCATTCTCAATATATATGAAAAAAGCGTAGCTTTAGGACACCTTAAATGATTGCTTTCGGAGTCCCAAAAAGCAAAGATTCCAAGCAGACTCCCCTATTCACCTATGAATTTGTGAAAAGCACTCATTAAATCCTCCGAAGATAACCAAGACGGAGTTTTTCGGAGTGCTCCTATAATAGACCGGAAAGGAGGCTTTACGGATTTTCAAAATGTTCTTAATTTTGTTTATAATTAATAAGTATTAACGTTTTTTCATCATTTCTTTTAATTGAAAAAACGTTAAACTAAAAAATGGTTTACATATTATTCAATAAAACCAGAGAAAGAACGGAAAAATCATGAAATAAATCTAAAAATATTTTTTATCTTGTTTAAAATACGTTCTTCTTAGGTTTGAAACCACCTTGCGCCTGCTCTATGGAATTCTTCAGCATATTTTCTACTAAATACATCTGAAAAGTTCTAAAGTCAGACAAAAGAAATTTTTTATGCAGCTTTTTTTTGCGGTGTCCCTTTTCAGGAATATTCGGAAACGACGATCAGTATATTCTTGATTGAAAACTTCTTCTTCTATTCCCAGACTAGATACAAAATACAAAAAAAAAGATAACATAAAAACATTTTGACTCCCTTCTCACTCCATATTCAGAGCGCCCCAAAACGCTCTTTAAAGGTGGACGTAAAACCTGCGCAGTTGCCTATGAACAGCTTGGCAATTTTTCATCTGATTTTAAAAATCAAACCTTCCTTGAAAGTGGGATTTATAGGCCTTTTAAATGATGTTATCTTTAGCTTGTTGAGAATTTTCTTCAGGTAAAATTTCAAAATACCCTATTTTTCTTAATTTTTTCAACTTTGACCTAATTTCAAGAATTTTTATAAAGGTTGCCAAATATGTAGTATTTATTTATGCCTCAACTAATGCAATTCCATTAAAATTGTCGAATTTAAGCAGTTTAAGTATAAATACGGCCTTGCCATTATATGTATGTGTGTATGCACCGGACATTCAGATTTTGTGAGCAGTTTGGCTAAGACATTCCTCAATATTTACTGAAAATTTGTATATACATAGAAATAAAATTAAAAAAAAAATGTAGAAAATAGGCGTGGCATCGCCCTCTTACATCAAGTATGTGCATCTCAAAAACTACTTCACCGATCTCGACCAAATGTGGGAATTTGTACTCGACCCCACCTACAACCTACACCAAATTTTGTTTCTGGTGTATTTCGTGATTTTTTTTTTTTTATAGCACCGTGTAATTAACTAAGTAGTACTACATTTAATCCCTAAGTGAGGGCAACAACTAATTTGCTCAGGCCTTCTTCAAGAGCATACAGGTGAAGGCCGTCGGCGGCTATGTTGTTTTGTAAGAAATCTATTTTAATTCCTAATATTTACAAATACATATACTTACGTATATACATGTGTACATATGTACACTGACAGAGTGCACGGCAAAGTGGCGGCATGACGCACACCAAATGAAAAAGCAAAAGCAGTCGCAGCAGCCAACAAAAATAAATCGTTGTGCATCCAGATCAGCCGACCGCTATGACATTCCTTGCTGTCATTGACATTCACAGGTTCTAATGATAATTAAAATGACGTTGATGATGCTCATTGATAGCATTTACAGGTACATATGAGTACAGTCTA